CATGGGAAAAGTTTCCTTCTCACAATTTCATGTATATTTTGCAGCCTTGGCCTCAAAGGATGCATGAAATGTGACACAGAATATTTAAGGTTCAGTATCTGTGAGTGCAGCAGGACCTGGATGTTTAAAAAGAAAAAAAGAAAAAAGTCTTTTGCAGGAAATATTTGTATTTGTCCCCACAGGTATATTTATGCAATCACAGCATTTTGGCAAATCTGACACCCTTCCCTGGAAGAAGGGCAAAGTCGAGCTCAGACACGCCGCCATCAGCCGCTGGCTTTGCTGACATATTTGCATAGTAGGTGTCCTCCTCAGGCTGAAACATGCGGAGTTTCAATTATGCAAAGGCAAGAAGAAGTTGGTGTTGAAATTAAAACCTGCACTATTCTAATAATCACATTGAGGTAAACACTACACAGTACATTTAAGTAACAGATAAATGTGCTATTTTTATTTTGAATTTGTGTCTTGAATTTACCATTTAGTTAGTTTTAGGAAAAACCGAGTCATCCACCATGGTTCATACAACAGTTACCTTTGTTTGTTGTTAAAATGAAATGTTGGTACAACAGTCTCACAACATCTCGTGGAAATGTACATTTTTTGTGCAGCTACACACAAACGACGTCGTCCACACAGACTGAGGACAGTTTAAATTCACTCGAGTTTCTTTGGACTTGTCAAAGGAGCTTGCAAAGAAAAGCGTCTGGACTTCTTTAAGTTGCTTGAAGACGTTTCACCTCTCATCCGAGAAGCTTCTTCAGTTCTAAGGTCAAATGGTGGAGAGTCCCAGATATAAACACAGTGGACATAGATGGCTTGAGCGACCATCTTTGAACAGAGGCGGGGTTTACGACACCAACTCTCTGCCATCTATAATCCAGTTTTGAGATCCCTTCCCAGACGCCTTAACGCCCACTCACATCCTGGGCCATCTGACCTCAGGAATTTGCATGACAAGGTGGGGCCAGGTTTCACAATGAACACACCCGAAACTCTGGCTGATTGGGTCCCACACCCAATTTCACACCTTGGCTCAGGTGATTAGAGGATCATCAGGGGTCCTTTTGTCCCTCTGTGGGGGGAAACTCCCACTAGGTTTATATCTGGGACTCTCCACCATTTGACCTTAGAACTGAAGAAGCTTCTCGGATGAGAGGTGAAACGTCTTCAAGCAACTTAAAGAAGTCCAGACGCTTTTCTTTGCAAGCTCCTTTGACTACGATGACCTGGATGACTGAGAACCTTCACAGACTTTCTTTGAACTTATTTTTTTGAACACCTTTTTACAGAAAATTTATCACAGAAATAATGAAAAGTCTAAACATTGTAGTGAGTCTGTGTTTGTGTTTGAAGTCACCGTGACATCAACTGCTGCTTTTCACACTGCTTTTTGAAGCATTAGCGTTTAGGTAGTGCTGGTCTATGGAGACAGGAGTGACTATCCGGTCATTAAGAGATGACGTGACGAAACCTACTTCCGGGCCTAAAGTAGTCTGCGTTTAATATGGCTTTTGTGTTGTTAACATGTTTAATGTTTTGTATTTTCTTCTATTTGATCTCAAAAAGCTCCTAAAACAGTCAGCGATCCCTGTCGACCTCCCTCGGCTTTTATTACCACTAATCATTTATTTAAGCTCAGTTTTTAAAACCTTAGGATGTAACTACAGCCCAGCCCATGCAGCAGTATATGAACGACTAACCTCGTATAGTGGATGGATTATCTCAGTTGTTCTCCTGGCTGAAGTTTGGTCCTTTTACAGCATCCTGCCATGCGATTACATTTGTTCCTGACCACCGAGAAAACTCACGTTAACTTTTATCGAGTGGAAAAAAAGTTAGCTTGTTTATATTATGCTAACATAGCTGTGTCGCTAGCGGTCACGTAGCACATCATTATATACCAGCTAGCCCAACTTCAGTAACCCTACAAACGTCACTGCTGTTTAGTTTTCTGTCTTCATTTATGCTGGAAGTGATAACAGAGCTGTACGTTTGAATTTGTTTCCAAAACCCCGCAGTCAGGACATGCTATATTGTATTTAGATAGAAGCTAGCGAGCTAACTCCCTGCTAACTTCTAACTCCGTTAAATGTCATAAATTCGGTTTTCATGGATGCCTGGATGTTAAACTCAATTGTTACACCTGGTAGAGCAGAACGCTGATCATTTTATTAAAGATGAAAGACTTTAGACAGTTTTTCAACTCTCAGTAATGCCACAGTGATCGTTTGATATATGGACCTGCAGCGGAGTTTAGACCCAGACACGGCTAGTGACGTCAGACTGAACGACCGGATACTTGGAGAAGAGCTGGGAATGCTAAGTTTGTTTGGTTATTAACCTCAAATTACTTAGAAGAAGCCTCATTTACCCATTCTCACACATTCCTGTAGAACTTTATTCTATGGCACAAGTCACATTCACTCACAGTCTGATGGGTGCACTGGGAGAAATTTGGGTTCAGTGTGTTGCACAGAAACACAATGCTTGTGACCGTCTTCCTGGTAGGACATGCCAAAAACCATCCTAGCTGGAGATCACCTCCACCACAATTTAAACATATGAGATGTACAAAGACTCTCCCCCCGTACAGGTTGAAGGGGGAAATGATCCACAGAAACCAATCAGTTTTTGTATCAGGCTGTAAACATGTTTATTTCTGCTATGAAGTTTTAACATAGGAGTTTATGGGCCAGAGCTTCTGCTAGGCATTACTAGCACATTTAAAAAAAATAATACTGTAAAAACAAGTGTCATTAAAAGTATTTATACAGGTAAACTTTCATATACTCTATATCTTCTTTGCAGATAAAGAGAAATATTTTTAGCTTTTCTAATGATTATGGCTAGATCATGAAAATCAGTAATTCACTGTGTCAAATGTTTTGCATATTTTATTTTGAGTGAGAATAATTTACTATTCAGACAACATGAATTCCATGTTCAGTTATCACAATCAGAATCAACAGAAGACTGTTGACTCAAAAGTTGTCTACGTGAAGATCCTGGTAGACCTCAGTGCAGCGTTCGATACTGTCGACCATAATATCCTATTAGAGCGATTAGAACATGCTGTACGTATTACAGGTACTGCGCTGCAGTGGTTTGTATCATATCTATCTAATAGACTCCAGTTTGTGCATGTCATGGACCAGGAGGCCAGCACGTAGGAGTGGACCACAGCAGACTCGAAGGACAACTGGACTGTGAGTTGACAAAGCTTTATTTAATACAGGGACACAGACTGGAAGTGTGAAGATGTAAATTAGGTAAGTGACTCCAAGTCCTAGGAACAGCTAAGATACTGCGCAGGACCCTCAGGTTATTGGCCGGTTATTGGCCTGGTCGAGGTGTCTCTCATCGACTAGCAGCTGGTTCATTTGTGCTTCTAGACACTCGTGGAGTGCAGTCAGCTTCTTCAGCCAGTTTGTGACGAATCATGTCAGAGCTTGGTGCTGTCCAAGTCGGAGACCCTTTCTTGGATGTCTGCCACTGTGATGACTACTAGACCCTGGTCAGGAGGGTTGTGGTCCACTCTTGGATGCATTAGCTACAGAGCATTTTTGTTATGTTTGCACCGTTCTCCCATATCCTCTTCCAGTATTGCTTTATCTGCAGCCTTGGTGGGGCTACACTCATATTGTTCCCCTGCCGCTGAGATTACACCTTCTCCTGCTTCCTATCTCTCTGGTATACGTCTTCAAGCAGCTGGGCAGGAACGGAAATCTTTGCTTGCAGTTTCCAAGGCCTCGGCTATGGCTAGCTTGTTGAACTTCTTAGGCTTCTTCATTCTTCATTATATCTTAAAATAGAGTTTTTTTTTCTTTTACAATATTCTAATTGTCTGAGATGCAGTATTAGAGAAAATGCAGTTTTTGGTGCTTCAGTGTTGGTTTCAGAGATTGACACTCAGTGTTAAGGGACCAAACGCCAGCTGCAATAGGTGACTGCTTTTAGGGAAGGGTATTTCAAGTAAAACTACCCTTTCAAATTCACTAGCAACAAATCTGCCATTACTTAAGACTGCACTCATGCAGCCCTTTAGTTACTCCATATTGTATTTTCTAATTAGTTTTGTCATTTTAAATTCAATTTAGTTGAGTTTATTTGTACATTTATTAATTTTATTTATACAGTGCCAAATTCACAATAACAGTCACCTCAAGGCGCTTTATATTTTAAAGACCCTACCATAATACAGAGAAAACATATTGCAGTTTAGTTCCAGTCAGTTCCCAGAGTGAGTTTGTGTATTTAAGTTTAAAGTTTTCTGTTTGAAAACTTTTTGTTTGTTTGTTTTGATTAGTTTGAGTGTTGGTTTTTTTTAAGTATTTGCAGACCTTTTGAAAGCAGAGGACTCAGAGTTTTATAGACATCTGAAACCTCAATAAATACGTCCACCAAACCTCATCAGGCAAGATCTGATTGATCTGACAAATATGACCAAATATTTACAAAATACAAACTAAAACTAACGATATTTCCTTCATCATTTTGTTCTATTTTTGTTAGTTTGCTAAGTTCAAAAATATAGTTTCAGTTTCTAATGAAACAAAATGTCTTCTCAAGTCTAGTTTTAGGTAGCAATAATTACCTTGCCGTCTACAGTTGTTGTAAAACTGAACATGTGTTTATTGAACAATTAATTGAACATCACTTTCATCAAAATTTTAGAGCTTTCAACTTTGCTGTGATTGTCTTAATCACTCAATATTTGCCTGTTTGTACCGATGCATCCAAGCAAAGCAACAGAAAATATAGAACCAAATTTAAAAACGTGGCTTTAATATATTAAAAACCAACATAAAATCTGCTTCTTTGGTGACATCGTTTTATTTACTTTTTTTGCCCTGCATCTAATTCTGATTTCTATTTTGTAATTGGTTGGCTCTTTCTAAAACTGGTTTGGTGACCTCTCTTCAAGAGGAGGGAAGTACACAGACGTTTATTATATAAACACAAAGTGACAAAGTATTGAACTACGAGGCACTTTGACGACTCTCAAGGCACGCAACGCTCTCGACACAGCAACCAACCACATCTACGAAGAATCTACAGAATGGCCAATTGTGGTAAGTACATTATATATATATGTGTGTGTGTGTGTGTGTGTGTGTGTGTGTGTGTGTAGATATATATGCATATACATATTTGAACTTATTCTCTTGTAATTAATGTTTGCATGTGTTGTTAACAAACAGAAAAAAAACATTTCCTTTATCACATGAGCATTACCTTGTTTCAGGATGTATCTGAAGGTGTTTTTCTTTGTCTTTTTGTACTGACATATTATCAAAGCCTGTCACCATCACCATACAAATGAGCTTTTCTCTCAAATAACTCTTAAAACATTAAATTTAAATCTAAGGTGCTTGAAAAGAACAGCGATCAGACTTCTTTGAGTTTCTTAAAGACGTTTCACCTCTCGTCCTCTGGACAGTTGTCTTCAAGAAACTCAAAGAAGTCTGATCGCTGTTCTTTTGAAGCGCCTTAGATTACCATGACCCGGATGACTGAGACATTAAATCTTGATGCTCTGATGCTGCTCAGAACATCCGCAATGTCAGAAATGTGAAAAATTGGGCATTCGCAGTGACTCCCTTTTACGCTTTTCTTTCACTTATCATCTTTGAGCACACATATAGCAATTCATTGATTCACTTCAGTTTGATTAAATTAAACTGACACGATTTTTGGAGCAAAATTTAAAACAAAGTTACTGATAATAAAATAAAGTTTTAAGATTGCGTATTGACAGTATAGATTTATTTAACTGTGCAGCTGAAACAATTGAAGCTGTTCAGCATTCACTTAATTCTAGTTTTTATTGCTTAGTAATCATATTTATGTTTAAAGTTAGATGCTTTCACATTGCCCTTCACTACTTGGTTTGCCATATATATTATTTTGGATATTTGGAAATGTATTTTATTTTCTACCATAATCTGATACTTTAACTTTATGGCATGGAGCAGTTTACTGGATTACTAATAGATTTTATTAATTAATGACATTTTTTTTCATTGATCAAGCAACTTCAAGACTTTGACAGGCAGGAAAAACAGCTTTCCAGGCTTTAATTTTCATGAATATGTTAGTCAAGGGCTCTTCAAACCATATTCTCAGATGAGTGCAACAGTACAGATATTTCTTTCAAAAGAAAGTAAGAAATACATGCAGTTTAAGCTAACATCAGTTCCTGTTTACATCCATGCCTGCTTGTTTGCATGCAGTACTCATATGTCATATAATATTATAACTACAATGAAATATGTTATTTCAATTCTCTCACAGAGCAAGAGAAGCTGAGGATTGTCCTCATTGAAAAGACTGAAACCGCCCTTTCGAAAAAGATTAAAGGCATCCTGGAAAAATCCTTCAATTTGGTGATGGCTCTGACCAGAGATAATGGCTGTGTAATCGTCAAGGAAGAAGAACTCAAAGATTTTGAATCATCCATCTTTTCTCCTGGTCCCCATGTGTTTTTGCTCATATACATGGGGCATTTATCTCCTTCATCGGGTGATGCGGAAAGAATCCAACACATTAAAGAGTTCTTTGGTGAAGCATCAACGCCTTACTTTTTACCTTTGATCATCCACAAAAATGCAACATTAGACACGAAGAAAAAAGAAGACATATTGTTTTCTATTGAGAAAGATTTAAAACTTAGCAGGGAGACATACTGTGCATTTTGCTGCAAAGGTGGGAAGGTCAATGAAAACGAAATAAACAACCTAGTTGTCAAGATCAAGGAGGTGGTCAACAAGAACAAGAACAAAGAAATATACACAAAGGAAATGTTTGATGAGGCACAAAAATCAAACAGCAAGGGAAAGACAGGTGATGGAGACCAAGGTCATAGCAAGAATGCAACAGACACAGCTGCTAAAATTAGAGAGTTCTTTTCATTTAAAGACTTACCAGATTTTTGTGCCAAAATGACGATTAGAGCACAGAAAGAATGAAAGTTCATGTTAACATGACTGATTTACTCAAATGAAATAAGTCAGACAGACAACGAAGAGAGAAATATTTGATGGCTTTAATCCGAGTTATTAATCTGACAGACTTGGTTCCTCTGCAGACTGAGATCAGAACAACACATTATAAACAAAGTACTTTATAATTAACATAACCTGCATTAAAGGAGAAGAGACATTTACATTAAATTTAATGAACTCCAATTTTTCCAGCTGCAATATTATATTCTGAATGATTTTAATGCAAATACTTCTATGGTGTTTTTTTCTTTGCTTTTTTTTTCTTTATTGATAACAAGGATGCATGAGACAGGTGTGACCTTTGTTGTGCGTTCACTGTAAATGCAGCGCTGTGATACCACCTCAGCTCAGCTGCTGCAGTTAGAGGGAAACCTGACAGCTGATGTTTTCTGGAGAATCTGCAGCACAGTCTGTAGTTTCCTATCAAAGCTGCTAAAAGTTCTTTTCATTTGTTTTCTGAAATGTGTTAAAGCCTGATGGATTTTGTGCTTCCACTCAGTGGACTTGTTTAAAAGAACGATTGTTAAATTTCACTCACAGCTCTTCGTCCTTTCTTTGTTGTGCCTTTTCTTTATTTTTATCATGTCATGCAGTTAAAATGCTAATCAGTGTGTGAAAAGATGTTGCTCCAATCAATTTTGAACAACAGAATCAGATCAATCAATAAATATTGATTTGAGTAAATGCATTACTTTCCTGGCACTCTTTCATTACTCAGCTTTATTTTGTGTTTGTAAATGTGGCGAATCTGAATTCACTGACTTTAAAGATTTATTTCAACAAAATGAATATGAATTATATTGTTAACATAAACACATGAACAACAAACAAACAACACGTTGCACAAATTTAAATAAGAACAACAAAGATACCAACCCCAAGTTGCTCTCTGATGCATCCATTGGAGAAGTGGCGGTCCTAGCATGTTTGGTGCCCTGGGCGAACACCCCTCTGGCGCCCCCCCACCCCGCCGCCCACCCCCGGTACACTCCACCCCACCCCCACACATAAAATATATGTGTATATATGTATGAAAAGGATTGTACCTACGTATAAAACGTACATATAAATATTTTACTGTAAAAACTGTTGTTGTTGGTACTAAATTTAACCAGGTAAACATAAACACACACACACACATATATATGAAGAGAGAGAGAGTATGCATAGTATGCAAATGGCTACCAAACAGTCATCATAATTCGTCATACAATGAGAACAGGACAAATCAACTATTGACACTGACTAATAAATATTGTGCTGAACACAGTCCAAAAGATTCAGTCAGCTACATCAGTGTCTACTGTTTGCTATCATAGCCATGTGACACTTCATTATCCCTACTAATTAATGTTATGTATCTGTGTTGTGGTCAGTGCTATCCTTTATGCCTGGGGTCGGCAACCCTAGGCACGCGTGCCACAGTTAGCACGAGAAGGGTTAACTGATGGCACGGCCATAACTGGACTGGCCATCGGGCATTAGCTCGGTGGCCCCATGATTTTTTTTTTGTAGCGGTATAAACAATGAAAGGTGGTGGATTGGCCAGATGCTGCCCGTTGTGTAAAAATAACATCGTGGAGCTTCCACAGATTCAGTAACATTAACAAGTGGTGGAGGCCGGCAGGTGGATGAGGGAGATCAGAGGCAGGAGCAGAGACGGCCGCCGGTCCGAGCGTCAGGTGAACTGAACTTCAGGTAAGAAGTTATGACCTGCAGTCTCTCTGGGTCAGATATGAACCAGGTTTAGTTTATTTTCGTTGTGCTGACTTTTTACAGTCAGTTACAATAACTCGTACTGCTACTAGCTAGCATGACGGAGTTTCTATACAGCTGGGTGGTGCTTTGATGTTACTGATAGTGAACTTTATTGTATTCATAAGGTTCGTTAGTAGAGTCGCCAAGCGTCCCGTAAAAAGACAGAATCCTCCCGCATGTGTTCCCTCTGTCTGTCAACGCTGTCACTGTGTCTGCTTGTGAGTCTGTGTGTTAAGTTCAGCATCTTGTCTGGTTCATCTGTGTCTGTGAGTTTCCTGTTTTATTCTGAAGGTCTCTGTCTCATGTGAGTGTGTTCAGGTTACGCTTCCCCTGTCTCCCAGGTGTGTTCCCCTCCTGCCTCCCATCCCTTGATTACAGCTGTGAGTGTTTAAGCCCTGTGTGTTCTCCCTACTGTTGCTGGTTCATCTGTGTTCATTCCCTGCTTCATTCTGCATCTCCTACCTGCATCTCCTACCTGCATCTCCCTGCTTCACCATTTCAGGTCTGTGTTTTGTTAGCTTTCTCCAGTTTAGGTTTTGCTTCCACACCTTTGCCCTTTCTGTTTGTATTCCTCCTCAATAAAAGCCCACTCACATCACTTATGCCTGCATCTTGGGTCCACACGGCTCGCCTCGCTGACCGTGACAGATAGTCTTTCGGGCAGCCAGACTCAAAATGCCATATAACAGCTTGGTCTCTTTATCCACATTTAATGAGTATAAATATCCAAACAAGAGTTCATCTCGATTAAAGGGAAGTTGCATACTAGGAGTAGTCTGTAACTCAGAGTGAATCGAAACCCAAAAAGTGTTGATCAATGGACAGCACCAAAACAACTGGAAATGTTTTATTCCTTGGGCCCCACAGTTTCTCCAGCAGCTGGAGTAATTACAATAATGTTTACTTTTGGTTTTTTTCCTGTCCCGTTTGGCTCTTTTGCATCAGAATTATTGTCTAAAGGCAAAGAAAGATGCCCAACGGATTT